TAAATAGCACCAGCAGCGGAAGAAAGGAGGTGCAATGTTCAATGCTCTATAAGGCGCAGAAAGCGCCAACACAGACAAGACTCACGTATCATGCTGCATCTCCACGGTGCACCTGGCTAGAAGCCAAATTTGCTGGTCTCCGCAATAAGTAAACATCCGGAATCTTTCGGGAAATTATTCATATGCCCGCTCTCCGATAAGTACAGACCCAACTAGAGAGCTTTAATGACCAACAGCCATCTGAACCATGATCATAGAGACCGATTAACCGTGCGTCATATTAGATCCAGTCATCTGCGCTCATTCTGTGGTGCGCACCTTTAACTCTTACTGCCAATGAAAGTGATCAGAAGACTTGGGTACTGTTCATCGTCAATCACTACATCCGTCCGTTATAGACTTGTGGCCCTCAGAAATTTTATTACCTCTGATTTGTTTATGTTTGCCGTCCATATTCCAGTGGACCAATCAACGCGGCCATTTGGGCACGCATGCAAATGTACAATTTCGTACAGGATTAGTCATATGAAACACCTCTTGGCCCGACATTTTTGGTGGTCAATAAAGTGACACGTGGCGGGCCTAATTCACCCATAAGTTTCGACAGGCCGAGTATAAAATGCTCAGTTGCCAAAATGAAAGCTGGTTTCCACCAAAAATGAGATACTAAAGGTGTGGCCGAATGGCACGGGCAACAGAGAGCTACTGCCTCTGTCTTTCTAACGTTTGGCCAACAGGAAAACAACTTTTGATAAGTACGAATGACTGCATATGAATCAGATTCGCTGTTTAATGGTGGTCAAACTACTGGATGCCTGCACATAGTAGGAAAACGACAAACGGTTCGTGGTTGGCCGAGTATGGTGCTGCATGCAAGCCCTTGGCATCTAGGTAGATCGGTGGCCAAGCGTCCACAGGTCTGTTGCGAGATGGCCTCAACACGATGGGATAACAATAGGTACCGGAAACAGTTTAGCCTCGAGGTTCAGGCATCATTCATTAGCTCCTTGAGGTTTCGGCACCTCTCCCATGCAAGTATTACCGGGAACCACCAATTACCATTCCGCGAAGGTGGTAATCGATAACCTGTCGGTATTCTGTTAAGCTTGGAGTTAACGATGCTGCCATCCTTAGGATGACAACGTAGGCAAGGTAATCCTTAGAAAACGAAGGTGGTCACCCTTAGCGGGTTGACCAACGAGTACGCTGGCGACCATCAGTTGAGAACGGGAATAGTCTTACACAATCAGATTGACCTGAAGCTGCCTGAACGAATGTAGCTTATGAAGTCACGGGAGTGAATTAGTTGCTTTATTCACGATGAAGGTGAACCACTCGCTCGGCCGTGGGTTTCGGATGCTTGGATCCTTGTCCAAACTGCAAACGGTTACACAACTTGAAGTGAAGCTATTCGTTTACGGGGCACACTGTGAGAATTGTCTCAGAACTAGTTATGTCCGAGGACAACTCGGTGGTAGTAGGCTGTGTGCACATTGCCGCCGCAAAACTTGAAATGGAGACCTACCCGTTTCCAGCTGTTTTTTCCTGAAATCTTTTGTTTGTCTGCCCACGGACGTCCATCTTGCCCGTATCTTATCTACATAGAATCAGCACAGTTCAGCCCCGAGGGGGTTTGTGGATCTGAGTAATTGGGTCAATTTCTGTTTACAAGAAAGACCCAAAAATCAGCTTTCTGAGGAGACTCGTTCAGATAAGTCGTATACATCAATGTTGGGAGGATACCGATCAAAAGGACGCAAAGCTGGACTTTCGGTGCTCTATGCTTCGAATATTGTTGTTCCTTCTGTTGTGTTGGGGCTAGGCAGAGTGTCAAACGGCTAAACCCTGACTTGATCGATTGTGAGCACTCTGCATGACTATTTTTCTGTTTTGGAGCATTCAGCCTGTTGATATAGATATGAGCTCTTCCGTTTACTGTGTAAGATGATTCCAGTCATTGATGACCGTCAGTACTCCAACGATTTTGCTCGCCTATATCCTACCTTTTCTCAATTCCAATAAAGCGTAAACACTCCTCCCCTTTGAGACTCAAGCTGAACGGTAAAACAACTTCAGTATATAAACAGGATTCCAACGATCGTAGATACACCGGACAATACTCAAAATAGGCTACTTCAAGGTGGCTTCCGGCTATGTAAAAACAAGCCTATCTCTGATAAGATACTTGAATTCGAAAGCAAAATGACAGTAAGATTTTTCTTATGGATTGAAGCACAACAGTAGTTGAATTTAGTAAAATAGCCCGTCCGAGTAATCTGAAGTCGATTATACTTATGGTAGAGATGCGGTGACAACCAAACCAGGCGTCTCACCGCTACTACAGTTCCTTTGAAGGAGGACGGCAGAATCGGTTATGTGACCCTCCAAGTGAAAGTCCCAGACCATTGACCATACAGGATTAGGAAGCACTAAGAAGTGGGTGCTCTGACAAGCGGTGTAGGCTTTATCTTATTCAACTGTTGAGTCAAAACAATCCCACTGCTGTTGTCAGTCATCACTTTAATAATAGGTCATTACAAAGGAATTAATATCAATGACAATCGTTCAGTTGTAACACCCTTTCAGTGCCCACGTGACATGCTACCCGAAGGAAGCACGAAGGCTAAGATATTGAAGGGTTGCTCAAGCCTAGACAGGAGAAGTCGAGATGCAGATGTCGGGTTCGAACCACGGACCTTCTGGTCAGTACGTTCGTGCCTTAACCACTGAGCTATCTTGAACACTCAAGATGTTGATAATCTCAAGCTATGGCCCCGGAATCTTACCGGATGAACAGACGACCGAACAATATGGGAACATAAAGGTATTTGTTCGAGATTCAATTTAGGGTATACTTTGCCATCACCGTTGAATGAAAGCAGATGATACACAGAACGATTCATATGAGGACATCACTTTGCCAAGCAAAACGGTTCATTTAATGTTTCTCGCAAACGCTGAAGCGGTACATTGTCCAAACGCTGGTCTACTAATCACTCCAGCTAACGTCCTCTCCAAAAGGGATCCAAGAAACATTCCTGTATTTTTGCCGGGTGGGAAGAAGTGAACAGCAACAGATTGCAAAGAAACGAAGCAAAAAAACCACTCGGATTATCACGAGAGATAAGATAGACTGAAGTTCACTGTACCCTGACGGCTGCGGTTGCAAAGCACTTAATCCGGGGTGGATAAAAACCGCTAGGTGTATAAAACGGATGCACCGGAGGACATTGACCTTGGAGAACTCGGGAAGACTGCCCAAACAACAAAACAGTGGTAGAATTGGAGATTACATTCAGACAGTACGTTTGAAAACCATATAGTCATTCCACAGTATAAGGCACCGTAGTACTGGTAACGTGAATTGTACATTGAAGGCAGAAGGTTTCGGAGGTTGAAATCATGCAGGCAGCTGTAGGGAACGACCTCTGACGACTGTGTTCGGAAAACGCGGGGAGCATGAAAGAACAAATGGATTCGTGTCAGAAAACGCTCAAAATGGCTAGCGTAGGAGGAGAACAAATGCACTAAGGTTGAACATGTATCGGTTGTTGTTGAGTAACTGTGAACAGGAGAAGTGAAAATTGACCGGGATAGCTGACATAAGTATTCAACCGTATACTTCGATACATTTCTCTCAAAGATAAATACAAGCAGTAAACAGAAGCCGACATTTCACTGTAGCCTTCTCGTTCTAGACTGAGCATACGAAGAAATGTACAGCAGAATCCAACCATAGAGAAGCGATGGATCATTGGTGCAGTGCAAGAAATAATTATACGATCATCTGGTCTTTAGAATTCAAGGAAACGAGGAAATGTTTAAAATACTTTACATGGTAAAAATGCAGACAAAGTGGCCTCCGTACCTTGGGTTGTATCGACGGATTATGGACCATTGGGTCAAGTTCTAGCAGCAAACGACTGCTTGCGTCACCGGTTTTCGCCGCAAGTACTTGCGGAATATTTTGCTTCTGGTGGCTTACGCACCAAACTCGTCGCCCTCGTCAAAGCCTAGTACCAGACAATCGAGGCTAGGGTGCGAGTTTATTGTGGAGACACATGAGTTTGACCCATGTAGTCGGAGTTCGACCAGTATACGATAAAGGAACCTCCTATCACGTATCACTGAAATTTGTGAACGTTCGCACAAGAAGAGGTACGTTCTGGTGTCCGGCTAAACCAAAGCCTACCTGATGAGCCCCAAGAAGGGCGAAACCGGTCGTGGGCTGTCGAGGAGCTTTCAGCAACCTTATGAGTAGTGCATCACAAAAATGTTTGGGTTTTGAGTCCTGAATACACGCTTCACTATCTTATTAGATGAACATCTAGATGCATTAGCCGTTGTTGATAGAGTCTCAAACTCGGAAACCTGGAAATTGACGCTAGTCAGACAAAGGTTTTCTTCATATGATCGTCAAAGTATCTTGGTCGTTGAATTTAACTACCTGAATCAAACAGCAAGCAAAATAAATTGAACATCGTATTGTTGCAGTAAGGCACATCTTCCAGCAACCCATGATGTTTTTATGGAAATGAAAGCAACCTGAGTACAAAGACTTCCATGGTTGAAGCGGCATTCTGTCCAGTCCTTCCTTACAGTTATAAAACTTGGCCGCTTCTGATAGAAAACATTCGCGAGTTCGACGTTTTGTGCTAACGGTGAATATATTCGGAGCTTGACATATCTACATCAGTGGTTAAAACACGTCGCTTTTGTATATGATGCCTAAGGTTGACTTCCACCGTTCGGTCACATTGTCCGAAAATCTGAAAGCGAACTCGCATGTTTAAGGCAGCACAGGTGCCTTAGAGGGTAGGTGAAAACCGTCAGGTCAGATGTGGAGCGTTTCAGTTTCAACGTAGTATGGGGGACCAGTAGCTAGAATCTGTATTGGGTCTCAGTCGGTGCGGACCTGGCCGCCTACCACTTTTCGTGGGCAGCGACAAGCCTTAAAGTTGAATCAGTCTGTTACAGGTGGTCGTTCGCGGCTAGGACAATTAAGAAAATCGTTCGGCTGTAGCACCCTTTCGGTGCCTAAATGTCATGTCGCCCGAAGGTTGCACGAGGGCTGGGATACTGCCAGGTTGCCCGGGCCTAGACAGAGGAAGTCGAGAGGCAGAGGTCGGGTTCGAACCACGGACTTCACTGTCAGTAAATTTGCGCTCTAACCACTTGGGCCGTCTCGCCCCCTAAATCAATTAACGTTTAGGGATGATTTGGTGCACCCACATAAGTGTAGTTTATAGTATTGGTTGCTCTACTTGAACCCAAATCTCACAGAATTAGCGAAATACACTCATTTGCAACCGAACTTGGTTTTGCAGGAAAATTACCTGGAACCCAGCTGAGTCTCTCGTTTATGATGTTTCCCCTTTGAGGATGAGATATGGAAAGGGGTATATTCGTCTCCCCCTGGATGCTGGAATTTCACACTGAATCATGTCTTAACTTCTGAGGGTAGTCTATCCCATGTAACGCCAGTAAATTTTATTCCCTGATTGGAGGAATTCGCTCGTTGAGGACACTGCCTGTAAATTGTGTGTACATGCAAACGGAGCGTACCGAACCTAGTCCACCTAGTTTGAAAGTAAATGGTTGAGAATTAGAGAAATAGTAAGAAACGTTTTGATCTTTTACTGACGCCAACACAACAAGAAATAGTCTTCAAGTTCAGTCGTGGACAGCGGTATATCCACGGTACACCCACGACAGCTCTCAGCAGAGATCCGAAAGTGTAAAGACCAGCGCTTAAACAATGACAATGAAATCCCACGAGTGTGCATTTAATTTTAGTCTAATCTATGAAGACATATTCAGACACAGCACATTCAACTGAAGAAGAGCCAATGCGAAACTCAAGATTGGAGAAAATCAGGGAACTAACCTTTTGTGATGTAGAGGTAGAAGAAATCACAGTAGAGCAGCGTTTGGACGATTCCTGCGATCAGCGCGATGTGGTCTAAATGCGACTCGACGACGTATCGATAAGCCCAGTTGAGAAGATATAGCGCCCGGTAGGCACCAAGAGCAAAGAGATAGTGAGAGGTTATTGTCTCAGCTTCACCGGTTTTGCTGATCATGAACAGTTGAGGCATGATAGCCACAGATTCCAGGTAGATTGAGAAAGCCCAAAGAATCTGGGGAGGGGAAAACGAAGAGTCAATTGGTCAACTAAATTAAAGGACTGAGATAGGGTGCTTCGGATATGAACCATAAATTTTAAATGTGAAGAAGCAATATTTTCATATATTATCAGTCCTCATCGTCACGCTCATCACTCTCAGAAGTGCAAAGAAATTTGGTTTATGTTCGCCGATGGTCGGCGAAATCCCTTCAGCTTGTTCGACGAGAAACAAGAGACTAAGCCCAGCTAACAGGAGCCAAACGTCAGTTAGAGTCAGTCTATAATATCGATGGAAAGACAACCTGAAGGGACCAAAGAAAAGTGGCTGCTTCCGATAGGAAAGGAGCAGAAGCCGAATGAAAATGGAGGGTTCTTAAATTACAAAGTGTCGGAATGTTAGTAACTCGTGCGTACTAACTGATGGCTGATCAGTAGCAGATCAAAAGCCCCTGATCAAGTACCGAGCAATGGTTTAACTTGGGAGAATAAAATATTATAATGTCTATGTGGAATACATTCCGCCTTTAGATTCTACAGCTGCCAGTTGACGCCAACACAACAAGAAATAGTCTTCAAGTTCAGTCGTGGACAGCGGTATATCCACGGTACACCCACGACAGCTCTCAGCAGAGATCCGAAAGTGTAAAGACCAGCGCTTAAACAATGACAATGAAATCCCACGAGTGTGCATTTAATTTTAGTCTAATCTATGAAGACATATTCAGACACAGCACATTCAACTGAAGAAGAGCCAATGCGAAACTCAAGATTGGAGAAAATCAGGGAACTAACCTTTTGTGATGTAGAGGTAGAAGAAATCACAGTAGAGCAGCGTTTGGACGATTCCTGCGATCAGCGCGATGTGGTCTAAATGCGACTCGACGACGTATCGATAAGCCCAGTTGAGAAGATATAGCGCCCGGTAGGCACCAAGAGCAAAGAGATAGTGAGAGGTTATTGTCTCAGCTTCACCGGTTTTGCTGATCATGAACAGTTGAGGCATGATAGCCACAGATTCCAGGTAGATTGAGAAAGCCCAAAGAATCTGGGGAGGGGAAAACGAAGAGTCAATTGGTCAACTAAATTAAAGGACTGAGATAGGGTGCTTCGGATATGAACCATAAATTTTAAATGTGAAGAAGCAATATTTTCATATATTATCAGTCCTCATCGTCACGCTCATCACTCTCAGAAGTGCAAAGAAATTTGGTTTATGTTCGCCGATGGTCGGCGAAATCCCTTCAGCTTGTTCGACGAGAAACAAGAGACTAAGCCCAGCTAACAGGAGCAGTCAGTCTATAATATCGATGGAAAGACAACCTGAAGGGACCAAAGAAAAGTGGCTGCTTCCGATAGGAAAGGAGCAGAAGCCGAATGAAAATGGAGGGTTCTTAAATTACAAAGTGTCGGAATGTTAGTAACTCGTGCGTACTAACTGATGGCTGATCAGTAGCAGATCAAAAGCCCCTGATCAAGTACCGAGCAATGGTTTAACTTGGGAGAATAAAATATTATAATGTCTATGTGGAATACATTCCGCCTTTAGATTCTACAGCTGCCAGTGTGGCGAGATGGACCAAGTGGTTAGAGCGCGAATTTACTAACCGGGAGGTCCGTGGTTCGAATCAGACCTCTGCCTCTCGACTTCCCCTGTCTAGGCTTGGGCGACCTGACAGTATCTCAGCCCTCGTGCCTCCCTCATGTGGCTTGGCAGCTTGGGTGCTACAGCTGAACGACTTTCCGACTGTGCTTGGAAGAGAAGACCTATAAATTACAAGCCTTTCTAGACATAAAACGTCGTGGTTCGCCCATTTAATGGAGTAAATCTGTCCTAATCAGTGAAGCCTAAAGTAAAGATAAGTGACTACGAATAACGCCGCGTGAAAAAAATGTCACAGAATATGACGATGTCGCGTGGATGCATGAGGGATTCTCGCGCCTTGTCACAAAACTATTCGAGCCCTAGCTTGCGAAAAGATACAAAAGTAATCGAATTTGAGGATCGCACGATAGCAACTGAATTAGAGGCAAATGAAACACTGAGGGCGCTCAGCGGCTACACCCGATGCTAGCTATTCCTCGCGTGTAGAGCCCACAGACAAACTGACGACCACACACGTCCAGTGTCGGTATTGTTTTTGTATATAGAGCGCTGCCTGCGAACTGATTGCGGGACACCTTTGGTTAAAAGCTCTACGATCACGTATCCGCCAACGGGTTTGTGAAGCTGGTGGTTCGATGGTAACAAGTCGAAACTGATACGATCGACTGGCTCTAGAAAAACAACGGTCAGCGAAACGATAAATGAAAAAGATGGCTCATTAATTCACTCGCAAAAACGTCCACTAAAGAGATGGGCCAAACACTTCGAAGAGTAGTTCAGCTGGCCTCATGCAACACAACCAGTGGAGGTAATGCATGCGGGCGAATGGAATGCAAACCTTGATCGCCCTTCGGAAGAAGAAATAAGGTACGAAGTAGCCGCACTGAAACGTGAGAAGGCACCAGGACCGGA